GGGCAGGAGGGGCGCGCGGGCCGAGGCCGGGCTGGGGCCGCGGCTCCACAGTGCTGTGAGCGGCCGGGAGGATTTACCGCCGCCGCCACCGCTGCTGCACCTCCAGCCCGCCCGGGACGCTGCCGCCTCCTTCCCACAATGCACCCTGGCGCTCGAGGGTGCCCTCTCTTCTCTCAGCCCTCCTCCCCCGCCCTCCTCGCCGGCGACCTTTCCCGCGGGCGGGCATGCGCAGGCGAGCGCGGCTGGCCGGGTGTGGTGGGGAGGTGGCCGAGCCCGCCGCCGCTGCCCCCGTGCGCAGGCGCACAACCCAACCCGAGCGAGGGAGGAATTGCGCATGCGGCCTAGCCTCCCGGAACTCGAGGACGGGACCCGGGGTTTCTTCAGTAGGTTTGTGGTGTGCGGGTGTCTACAGGTCTGGAGCGAGTTCGAACGTGACGCCACGACCGTGTCATCCCTGCTTGATTTAGTTGCCACTGTTTATGTGTCCATTGCATGAGTCGCCGTAGACTCTTAGGGCCACAGAATCGGGACGACCTTGGTGACTGCTTTGCAAACTCCACGCACGGGTTGGACGCAAACATGGATTGTAGAGGATTTAATTTTTTCCCCAGCTTTGCCTCCCAGTTCCTCTATGACCCGGTTAGTTCGAGATTGCCAGCCCCATACCTCGACTAGACGCTAAGGGCGAAAACTCAGAAAAGCACTGGCTTCCCTGGTGACTTCCTGAAGGGCAGGAACAGCGAAATGATTAGGCCAGCAGCACCCTAGAGATTGATTCCTCGGGCTTCTCACAGTCGTGGCCTGATAATGTCCCTGTATGGCTTAGTGCCAAAATGAGGGATCGCTATTTAGAACAAAAGATTAGTATCAAGTTTTGAGTGAAATTGAACAAGTCTGCAAGTAAGACCCACCATCTTTTGAAAGCTTATGGTGATGAAGTGGTGACCAGGGCTCGAGTTTTTGACGGGCACAAAAGGTTTAAAGTAGGGCAGGGAGATGTCCGAGATGATGCACGAAGTGGTCGTCCAGTCACCCACAGGACGGATGAAAATATCCAGAAGTTCAAGGACTTGGTTTATTCAAACAGGCAGTTAACGGCGAGAACGATGGCTGAAGAATTAAATTTAGATAAAGAAACCGCTAGACTCATTCTGAAAGAAAACCTGACCATGAGAAAAAGTCTGCCAAGATTATAACGAGTATTTTGAAGAATGAGCCTAAACTTAAAGGAATTTGTATTCCCATATGACCATTCAGAGGAAATTATGAAACCTAGCTTATATGTGAGGGAAAAGACAACAAATTCTGAAACGTGCAGTCATTTGCAGCAGAAAGCTGGTGGGGAAATTGTTCTGCCTCTGTCTAATCCCAGAATCCACCCCCTTGGCAGCCAGCTTCTCCAGGGGCCAATCTCAGCAAGCATTCCCACTAGGGTTGCTGGGAATTGGTTCACATCCTGGTGAAATGAACCTGAGGTAGCTAGAACCTGTCCTCATCGGTTTTTCATCTGGTTTCTGTCTTAGCTCTTCCTCCACACTTGGCAGGGTCCACCGGCAATATAGAACTATGGGGTTCTCTTCCTTGCTGTTCCCCACCATCTTAGAGGGCTTGTGACGGTTGACTTCCAGTTCTAGCTTGCTCTTCATTTCTTTAGCTTAACCTCGGGCTTAGGGCTATCCTGCACATCATGCTGTCCAGGGGATCATGCCAGTGAGAAGCAGGGGTAGGAGTCTATTTCTGTGCCCAGGGAGACATACTCTTCTGAGGGGACCCCCAGAGTCCTGCAGTTTCAGCCTGCTTCACAGTCAGGGCCCGAGAGGTATAATACAGAAGGCAGTGGCATGCTGATTTATTGAGTGGTGTGATCTAGTCCAAATGACTCAGGGTTGGCCTCCAACACTTACCTCACAGAGCTCCCCTCCCCTGACTGGAGAGCTAGGATTGTTTCATTCTCTGTGCTTTGGACCACCATTCTTTTGGGTGTTCCTTCTGCTAGAAGAGAAGGGTTTGGCCCGAGAACATTTAAGCCATGAGACCAAGGTGAAGACCATAATGTCACATGAAGAAGTCAAGTAATTCCTCAGGTCCTGCATTAAGGGGGTCTGGGATACGGTGCCGATTTACACCCTCCCACATTTATTTAGTAACTGAGGCCTAAACAGCTGAAGTCAGGTGTGTTTTGAGCATCAGCGGTGTGAAGCCCTGAAGTGAGATTGCTGAGGGTTGATGGGGTTTATGGGGGAGGTGTTTTTGTAACTACATCCGTGAAGAGGGAGACAAAGGGCCATGAGATGAGAGAAGGATACCCCAGAGGTGGTACAGCATGAGGCTTGGAAAAATGATGACACTTTTAGGGCTAAAATATTAAAGTCAGGGTGGTGGTGGTAATGGTGCTGCAGGTGAGTAATTTGAAACGTTAGGCTTCCTCTCTTCTGCGCTTAATTTTATGCTAGTAGTTTATAAATTGCTGCCTACCCCAGTGTCTGCAGGTAGTTTTATAATAACTCACTTGTTAGCATAGCTAATCGGACCCCCCCAAAGCAGGCTCTGTAAATTTAAACAGCCTCTTTGTACCTCCCTGCCAGAGTTCACGGAATGAAACTCGTGTCAAGTGCGTGGTAGCAAGTGCTCCATATAGACTGAGAGCATCTCGGAATGCCAACCAGGGAGCAGAGGACAGGGAGACAACAGCATCTCACAGCACCAGCCAGTGTCTGCCTTACCCAAGGGTTCTGATGTTAGTGACTGTGCTTACTAAGGAGTAAATAATACCGGTTGATAGTCGTGCCCAGCACTGTTCAACGTAGTTGTCTTTACTCTCTCTCCTGAAGTTTCAAGGCTGGGCGTCCCAGCACTTGGGAGAGGCAGAAGCAGTTAGATCTTCAGTTCTGAAGTTCCTTGGAAGCTAGATCTTGTCTCACAAAGACATTATCTAACAAAACTCTTAAAAGGGGACTGGAGAGATGGCTCAGCAGATAAGAGCTCTGGCTGTTTTTCCAGAGGACCTGGGGTTCAATTCCCAGCACCCACTTGGCAGCTCACTCACCACTGTAGCTTCAATGATAAAGAATCCAACATCCTCACACAGACACATGCAGGCAAAACACCAATTCAATCTGAATGAAATAAAAATGAAA